GTTCAGAGATCACATTCACACTCTATGTACAATAAATAAAATAAATTATACAGAAAAATAATGTATATACAATAAATATGAATAAAAAACCTGTTAGTACAGTTTTTTTATTACAACTACAACCCATGAAGGGTCTGGGGTTCAGTACTATTTAGGAAAAGTACTGAATCTAGGTCAACGGTTGTGCAAGGAGGTGATATGACCGAGATCACGATCAACCACCAGGTTTTCCCCCTTAATTAATTATTTAATTAAGGGTACCCACTTTAGAGAGGCTGAGTGTGCCCCAGGAGGGACCCTCAACCCAGGGTCGCCTCACGTCCAAAGAAACAGATAAATAAATTTTCTGCCATGCGCCGGGGTTCGAAACTAGGACCTTTGCATTGGAAGCTCAGTGCCCTACCACTGAGCTACCCCACTCCTCGAAATATGAATTTGAATATGAATAAAATAACCTCAAAATAAATAAATAAAAAGAACACATATATACCTATATACAATATTTACAACCTGACAAGAGTACTCCTAACCAGAATTGTCCCTCCAACTGTGGAGAGAAAATCATGACTGCAGGAGATCCCTGCATTTCTCTTTATGATAATGATGATGATTTATAGTTGGATTTTAATTGCTTCATTACCAAGTCATTGTAATGTTAGGTTATTAAAATTTAAATTTCTATTAGGTTTTCAGATAATATTGTCCATACCGACATTTTTTTTATGGATTCTAAAATGTTTTCCACAGTGGCTGACAATTGTGTACTTTTGAATACAATTTTATTCTTTTCCACTTCAATACATGCAAAAATAAACTACAAATTATAAATAAAAGTTCTTTACGTGTAATTAGTAATTATTGATTTGGAGTTAATAAATTAACGGTGAAGGAAAAAGTTACAAAACAGCAGGAGAACGTTTTGTAGCAACCATTTTATGCAAAGTTTGGTTTCGATCAGAACTGCATACTGTACGAAAAGTAACTGTTTAGCATTTCATCCTCTCTATAATGGGCTACTGTTCAAAATCGTATCTTCCCATCACGCCGAATTCGAGAGACGAAAAAGAAAAAATAGTATTGAAAACCAGATGATAACGATTTTTATAGAATATATGGATTAAAATATCGCAGAAACTAAAAATCAGACCTGCATATTGTTAGCGAGATAAATGTTTATAGTAAGTTATTATTTATAATTTATACTTCATATCATTAATCTCGCCTTATTGATGTTTTCACTGTTATCGTGGGGTCTAAAGCACATACCTTCATTTAGAAATAGAAATAGAAAATAACGTTATTCTGGGACAAAGTCCCTTTAGAATAACAAAATAGAACATAATTAAAATACTACATCTGGCCAAAATAAAACAATAATAAAAAAGTGAAAGTAAAGAAAATATCAGTTAAACAAGCTATATACAAAAAAAAAAAAAAATCTATATACAATTTTTGGATAGGAATTGGAATAGAAGGGATTTGAATGTGGATATGGAGGGGGAATGCCGAATTTTGATAGGTAGAGAATTCCAGAAATTGACAGCGCGAGCTATAAAGGAATTCTGAAATGAGGCAGATCTGTGCGAAGGGATGTAGAGGTCAGAAGGTCGAGATCTTGTTGAAAGGGAATGGATTGAGGACTTGAATTGGAGAAGGTTGTAGGCGTAAGAAGGACGATGGTTGTTAATGATTTGATAGAGGAACGTACCTAGGAAATATTATTTATATACTTACATTTTTTTTTATATTTATAGAGTGTGGCAAATTAGAATGGGGTGTCAAGATTCATTTCGCCGAAATAAATATTAATAATCAGTAATCGGGACCTTATAGCTCATAGTACTTAATTTCTACTGAAAAAGAAAAAGGAAAATCATCAGATAAGTAATAAAAACAACAGATTGCGACCTAGCAGCAAGTTGTTCATATTTATTGCTGATAAGTTATCTCCAGTCAAGAGTTTTGAAAGTTAAAATAAAAGTTAAACATATATTGAAGAAAAAAAAAAACGATTTCCTTCTTCTTATGAACAAATGTTTGCCTTTAATTATTTTTAACTTTTGTTTTAGAGAATCTTCTAAGTGAGAACAAATTAAAAAGTACTTCGTTATCCGAATCGAACCCGAATGATTTCTGGTAATTAAGAACCTGTTATCTATTGGATTTATTATTTTATCAAATTATTATTAACATCCGTCCATTATTATTAACAAAACTTCGTGAATAGCTTCTTGAATCTTATCGTAACCTAAAATTTCTTTTATCTGTGAAAATTCTATGTTTTGTCATTAGATTAGTGTAGTGAGGTACTAAAAAACTTGTGAATACTCATTTTCTTTCCACTTGAATTGTAAGATAAAAGGGAAAGGATGATAGGAGGAACTAATCTGCAATAAAAAAAAACTAAGGTGTGTGCATTAGACTACACGATAGAAGTGAAAACAACAACAAGTCGAGATTAATAATATGAAATATAAATTATATATAAATAAAGTATTGCGTAGAATATTCGGACCGAAGAAGGATGAGTTAACCGGAGAGTTCAGACGGTTACACAATGCCGAATTGCGTGAGCTGTATCCGGGTAATATAATTGAGGTAATTTCATCACGGCGAATCAAATGGGCTTCCTAGAGGAGAGAATTCCTAAAAGGTTAATATTTGCTGTGCCGAATGGCAAGCGTCCGAGGGGTAGACCGAAGCGAAGGTGGGAAGATTGCATTAAAGCCGATCTGAAGGGACTGGGTTTGGACGGCGAACGGTGGAGGGAGGTGTGTAACAAGCGATTGGTGGTGTCGGCATCGAACCTTCGGGTTCGCTAAGCCTTATTATTATTATTAAATTATATATAATAGCTCATTATAAAGAGGGTCAAATGCTGAACATTCCCCTCGCTTGCAGTATGCAGTTCCGATTTTTAGCTTCTGAGATATTTTAAATCATATTTAAAAACATTTCAATTAGTCGACTATAGCCGACTTTACCAGAGCATTAAAATCTGACGGATCAATCTGATTCATTCTCCACAAAAAAGTGCCAAACGCGCCTAGAGACGTTTTCACTTCTTAATTAATATAAATTATTACACCTGTAAAATATTAGGTTAGATTCAGGAGAAAGAAACACTTTATTAAAAGTCTTCTTTAGAAAATTTTAAATTCTTATATAGTACTCTACAATAGAACATATATATATATATATATCAATGTTATAAACTTTTTTTTTGTTGATACTTTCCATCTATTTCATTTCGCTAAAATTTACGTCGGCACAGACACCTTTTTATAAAATTATTAACACTCGTCTAAAACTTCCTGAATATCTTCTTGAATCTTATCGTAACCTAAAAGATTTTTTATTCACAAAAATTGTCTGAAAAGGTGGTTTTATCGCTAAATTAATTAATGTAATGAGGTACTAAAAATGGCTTACAAAAATATTGATTGAACCATTTGGCATAAATAACTTCTTTATTTTGACATATTGGGGATGGGCGTGAAGCCAAACGGTTCGATATTTTTGTAGGCCACCTTTTGTCTGCATTTTGTGATTAAATTATCTTACGAATCAAATGAAAAGTAAATGAGTGTTCAGGAGTTTTTAGTACCTCATTAAATAGGAAAAGTTTACCGATCTCCAGATTGAAAACGCTCCATGTCCGAGAATTTCAGTAAATAAAAAAAAATATATGTTATAAGATGAGATGAAGCCATTCACGACGTTTTAGGTGGATGTTAATAATTTAATAAAAAGGGGTCTGTACCGCGGACTAATGGATATTGTTGAAAATACATTGATGTTTTTTTTGGTTTATTATTTTCAATAATTAACCATTGTTCATACGCACGCCACCGTAGGCCGTCCACCGCCAGGGCATTTCCTCCGAAACTACTGGACCGATTTTTTTCAAATTTGGATTTAAAACCAGAGGTCACCTCAGGATGATCCTCCTACATCGACATTACTCTTCGCCTTTCCTTTTTAAGATGGCGGCCGATAAAGCTGTGTTGCTGCTATAGACTGTAGCGTCTAAACGAAAGCACCGATTTCAATAAAAACTTGGCCAAAGTCTACTTCTCGATGCTCTTTAAATTTATCTATATGACACACTTCAACGAAAATAAGCTGGAAAAAAAGTTATGCAAGATGATAAAATTAGATTTCCGAATAACTTAAAAATTATATACTTTTTTGTTGATATCGTATCATGATTATTAAAAATTTTACGAAAGTAACTAAAAAACAAAACAAAAATCGTTAAAATCGGACAGTTTGGAGCAAAGATGTGATCTCTAGATTTTTTTTAAATGTTCTACTTATTGTTGCCTAAAATCGGTCTTGGTCTTGTAAAGTGCAAGGGCGCCTAACTGTTGCAAGACCAAGACCAGGACTGGTTAAAAAAATCGATTTTTTAAATAAAAATTAAGGCAAAATAATTTCTAGTTCTTGAAAATCTTAGTTACTATATGTTAATAATTGTTATAACCAATATAATTTTGCATTTAACTCCTTTAATTTTTCATTCGGACTTAGTTAGGTTTCTCCTATCTAAAAAATTACAGTAATATATCTATAACAATAACCTAATAAGTAACTGCAAGACTGAGTTTGCAAGGCATTTGGGTCTCGCATTTGGGCAACACTAGTTCTACTGCAAAGGTTGTATCCTTTGTTTTGGTTTTGATTTTTTTGAAAGTGTTACTGAAGTATTGCTATTTTTTAAAAGCAAATTACTAATAATGAAAAAAAAAATGTTTAGGTCAATAATAGGAACCATCTTTTAATTGTTTTTCTTTGTTACTAGGAAGGTAATGTTACTTCAGATGTATGCTTTTTTGGTATTAACAAAACCATTGAGAAATAACTTGCAGCGTTTTAGATGATGATTTTTTTTTTGTTGATAAATTCGAATTTACGTATATAGATTAGGTGGAGTTGTTTAAACGGTGTATCACCATGTTTGTCACGGAATCGGTTTTCCCTAGAGGATAAACGGCGGCTTAGTAGACCTCGAAGTAAGGAAGGTTTAAACTTGGTGGGGCGGTGTTGAGGTTCAGTCCAGCGGTAGCAGGAGCGGTGCGATCATCAAACAAGGTGAGTTCCTCCAGGTGGTATCTGTACAGTACCACCGGTAGGATCATGTATCTCATTACATTATATATTTGTATCTACGAAAATATATTATAATATATTAGCAACATCGTGTTTTTAAATACCATCAGCACTAACAGCATTCTGTTGAAATCTTTCAAGAATTCTAAAATTCTCATTACGAAGAATCCTTTTTCAATATTTTCATAAGTTATAAGCACCTCTTTGGCTAGATTATTCAGTTATTGAAATATTTAATGAAATACTATATGGAACGAATCTTATGTTTACGTGTATTATGCTAGGCGAATATACAAATAAATAAATACACTGCCCTCTAACAGATTCGTTATATTAGAGAAAACAACACCTCATTTTTAACAAGAGTATTAAAAGAGAATAGGTTCATTTTTAAATCCATTTCCTTGAATTTATCTGTTTACATACTTAGTTGTTTGATAATACACGAACCTTTGATCCATTGCGTTCAAAACAGGAAACCATAAATCTTACTTCGATGATATATTTTTAAATGATTGTTTATTATGTATTAGAGTTTTTTTATTTTGATTCTTTAAGTCAATTGTTTTACTTATTGAGATTCTACAGACGAAGTAGGAACATCATATGTCTAGTTTATAGATTAATTTTTTTTTTAATTACAATCATTTTTTCAAATAGAAACTTTTTAACTAAAAAAAAATTATCAATTAATGATTTTTTTTTCGATATCCACTAGGTAGCCTGTTGTAGAATCCAAATAATCCATAAACTGAAAACCTCAGTTTTTTTGGTTGATGCTGTTTCATTCTTGGTTCAAAGTGTATAATTCGCTATAATTATTATTTATTTTAAACATTAAAAACGTCGAAAAAATATTAAGATATTTTATAAAGGTTGCACTCTCAGTAGAATTCATTTTATGCTTTTGTCCAAAAATATATGATTTAATATTAAGTAAAATTGTTGATAATAATAATAATAATAATAAGGCTTAGCGAACCCGAAGGTTCGATGCCGACACCACCAATCGCTTGTTACACACCTCCCTCCACCGTTCGCCGTCCAAACCCAGTCCCTTCAGGTCGGCTTTAATGCAATCTTCCCACCTTCGCTTCGGTCTACCCCTCGGACGCTTACCATTCGGCACAGCAAATATTAACCTTTTAGGAATTCTCTCGTTACTAAGCCCAACAACTTTACAAGCCCATTTGATTCGCCGCGATGAAATTACCTCAATTATATTACCCGGATACAGCTCACGCAATTCGGCGTTGTGTAACCGTCTGAACTCTCCGGTTAACTCATCCTTCTTCGGTCCGAATATTCTACGCAATACTTTATTTTCAAAAACCTTAAGACGCTGCTCATCCCTTAATGTAAGCGGCCAAGTTTCGCATCCATAAAGAACTGTAGGCAAGATAATTGTTTTATAGATTCTAATTTTTAAGTTTCGGGACAAGAGGCGCGAACTAAGTAGTTTTGTCACAGAAAAATAACAAGCATTCCCCGCCTTCAGTCTAACCTTAATCTCTTCTTCAATTTCGTTTTTTCTAGTAAAAAAAGTTTTTTAAATAAAGTTTTTTTATTTTGATTCTTTAAGTCAATTGTTTTACTTATTGAGATTCTACAGACGAAGTAGGAATTGTTGATAATACCAAATTTTATAATACCAAAATTGTTGATAATACCAAAAATAAATTAAAATTTGGTTAGATTTTAACACATTTTATTTCGATATGCTCCATGCTTTTTAATCTGGAATCTACTGGACAAATATAATTAATTATTTCTATTTGAAATTAGTCTTTCTTTTCAATGCAATGTAAATATTTCAGGAAAAATTATGTGAAACAAATTTCGAAAAAAAAAAAGTAAACAATATTACCGGATTTTGGGATGATGAGGAACTTAATTAAATAATTTCGAATTATCCATGTTTACTACGCCACATTTTGTTGTTGTTATTTTTAAGAAAACATTTAAAGTAAATTAAAAAGTTTTTATCGATATGTTTTACATTCATAAATTTGTCTTACAGCGGGAGGGTAGATTATGTTACGGTAGCTTCGTTTCATCGTAAGCTACAACTTTTTTATTTACGAAAATTCTCAGAATTGGTGGCCTACAAAAATATTGGGCCTTTTGACAAGTGGAAAGCAAATGAGTATTTATGAATTTTCGTACCTCATTATATTAATTAATTTAATAAGAATACGTCCCATTTCTGAGAATTTACGTAGATAAAATAATTATGGATTACGATAAGATTAAGTCATTCACGAGATTTTAGACGGAGATTAATAACTTGATAAAAAAGGGGTCTGTACCACGGACTACAATCGAAAGATAAGTTAAATTTATGTCAACTTACGACAGCAAGACAGAGAATCAAATATGGCGCGTTATAATACATTTACTTAATTAACTTACTGATAATAAACAAACAAAAATTTTAAAAAATTGTTTTTATTAAAAACTTCATGTGTATATCACGTTATTGTTATATCAGGAAATGTCAAATTAAAAGTCTGAACTCTTTCAAGTTTGAGTTCACTGAACAACAACATTTTGCCAATATTAAACGTATTTTCAACAATTATTTATTACTGTCAACCATAGACCATTTAACTGAAATTATTTCTAAAAATTTGACATTGACTTATGCTAATCTCTATGTTGCAACCAAGGGGGGTACTAAATCTTTAAAATTATAACCGACCGTAAAGATTGAACTTGTAATTACATTTTTAAAAACATTTACTGTGTTATATAACAGATAAAATTCTCGTCGGTTATTTCCATAGATTCCTTCTTCAACAAAGGCCATTTGAATATCTAAGCGAACAAGGAGGAAATGAGACAATTAAATGTATTTTACAAATTTCAACTCTCATGACGCAGGAATTAATTATGAGATATTCATTAAATAATGGAAAATGCGGATTTTATACAACAAAATGTTATGACTTTTAATTTTCTCTGGCATTATAATTTCTCCTCGGTTCAATACTGTTTATATTTAGTTTTGCATTATCGTTAGCACGAAATAAAATTAGATTAAAAAAAATTGTTAATTTAATTGGTACATGATGTCACTTCATAACAGCAAGTAAGCTAGCCTCTCAAAATGATATGTAATATTTATTCTTTCTATTCACTTAATGCTAATGATTTTTGGCAGAGAAGTGAATAATCATTTTGATCTTATTATTCATCGAGAAAATGTAATAAAAATTAAAGAATTCGAACATTGATATTATTTTATGATACATTTGAAATCTTATATTATATATTATATACAGGGTGTCCCGTAAGTAGAATGAAATATTTATAGGAGTAATCGCAGATCACAAGAGTTACAAAAAAATTCACAAGAACAATGGGCCAATTTTCAGGAGGAAAGTAAGTAAGAAATCCAAGTTTTGTGTTTTTAAAATAATTCATATTTTTTGGTGAATGAGAAGCGATAATTAAAGAAATATTTAATTTAAGTAATTAACAATAACTTCGATGTAAACTAGACGAAATTTTCTTCAAATGAAAATTGAGTTTGTCGTTGTTAAAACCATAGTAAGATGAGGACTTTTGTGCGGATAAACTAAGCTAAGTCCTGTTTAAAATATATATATATATATATATATATATATATATATATATATATATATATATATAAAGACTGACACGGAACACATATACCAGACTTAAAAGACAAGAACTTAATCGACGATTTGGCCAGCTATACAGACTACTTAACAGAAAATCCAGCCTATTAATTGAAAACAAACTATTGATATACAAGACCATACTGATGAAACCCATCTGGACCTACGTACTTGGGGGACAACTAAATTTTCGAACATCAAACTTTTTTAATAGTAATTAAGTATGAATGTTTTCCATTTTAATATATTGGTTTTATTTATCCATTTAATTCTATTACTTATATATATATATATATATATATATATATATATATATATATATATATATATATATATATATATATATATATATGTATATATATATTCATTTTTTTTTGTTTTTTGCTACTGTATTTAATTTTATCTTTAAGTTACATTTCCTTGTTTTTTTTAAAAATAGTTTTTGCCTTATTACATAGATATTTTATTAGCTATCAGTGCCCTTAAGTGTGGCAAAATGTATTATTTACCAATAAAAAGATATAAAAAAAAAATTATGAATTGTTCACGATCTTTTTTTTTTACATCATTCAACTATACTAAAGATATAAAACTTTTTAGAAAAACTTCACAATATCTTTAAGTACATATTAATAAACTTGAGGTTTATAAGGCGAAAAATTTTAAGACTCAGATTCACCTCAAATCGTGTAAAAAAAACGATGCCGTATTTTATCCTGTCACCTAAATGTAATTGTATATTCAGCAAAAACGAGTACAATCGACTTATTCAAAGCTTCTATTTTTCCATGATTTGTATTGTAATAAAAATAATTGCCTAAATACGCTTTTTATTTATGAAAAGAAAAAAAATTAAAAATAATGATTTTTATATATTTTCCGTGCAAAGTGTTAAGGTAACTTGGTTTTTCTTCCAGATCTCTATCATAGGAATTGATCTGTATTTATAAATGACAAAATTACGTTTTTATGAAAATAATTGAATTAATCAACAGATTGTTTTGTATTAATCGTAACTTTTAGGACAAGAATCATTATTTTCCCAAATAAACATCAACATAATTAATATGTACTTAAAGCTTATTAAATGTGGAGTTAAAGCTTACTAAAAGTGGAGTATGTTATATTATGTATATGTTATTATAGTTGAATGATGTTTAAAAAAATCGTGGATAATTTTTTTTTTTTTTTAAATGGAACTTAGATCAGGTGTTCTAAAGCCTAATTTAAATTGTTTTAACAATAACAAACTCAATATTCATTATTTGCCAACGATTTTTACTGTTTCACTGTTTATCAATGCTTAAACTTCGCATAAAGCGCTAACTAATAATGATACAGCTGTAGTAGTATATATTCCACCATAGCAGTCATACAGAGAGCAAGAATCCGCAGCAATGCCGACAAGGGTATCGTATCGGCGAGACACAGCGTTCTGTTGGAAACCTTCAGATTTTTTTCACATCAGTTTTCGTTAAATTTGAAAAAGAAATGGAGCTTAGCAAGAGGCTTATGGAGGTTTCCGATCTTGGGAACGAAGTTGCCTGGGAACTACCTATACCTGGGCCTCTTGGCAGAGTTTGGACCTGGGCTTGACGAGATGACCTAGGATCAGCAGATGCAGCGATGAAATCTACTAACTAAACCACTTCACATACCATAATAGCTAAATTGTAATTACCAACCCTCATGTTATAATATTTCATGGCAATAATTCTCAACACAGTCCATCTGAAATCACATCTTCACAGTTAATTATTAAATTCACCGATCGTCTCGAAAAGAGGAGAGAGCCCTCTGCAGGTTACGAATTGGACATTGTGAGTTATCGCACTCCTA